TGGAAACCATGAGACGTTGAGGCATTTCATTTAGATGTTCATATTTACTTGGATCGACCTCTAACTACGATTCGAACTTTGATACTTAAACAGTAGCACATCACCTTTGGTTTGCGGTTATTCGCACGACGAGATTTTTTTTTTTTTTTTTTAGGTTATGATAATATGGCTTTTTTTTTTGTGCTTTTCAAGGTACCTTGTTGTGCCAAACGTAATGCGTTGGAATTCGCGCTACAACGCCATGAAATGCATCAGAGATCTCTTAAACGATCGTCCGGAGCGCCTGGAAGAATTCTGTATGCGGCAGAAACTGCAAGCTTTGCGACGCCCCGTTGACGTAGACGTTGTCGGAGAGTACTGCATGGTGAGTAGAAATTCAAGTGTGAGTCGATGTACAGATTCACGTTTTGCTAATTGTCTATTCTAGGTCATGAAACCACTTGCGGACGCACTGGATATTTTACAAGGGGACAAAAACATGTATCTAGGATACCTACTCCCCACAATTGCAGCACTGAAACGCAAGCTGACATAACTACGCGGACTGGAGTACTGCGAGCCGCTGAAAACAGCCGTAATCGCAGGTCTCGAAAAGCGGTAAGATTACTTAATTATATTGTATTTGACTAAAGCGTTAAAAGTGCAAACCATCTTTTTTCCTATTTACACACAAAAAAAAATATTCAGTAACTACCTAAAATATATACAGGCCTAGAGCGATGTGTAACAATGGAAATATAAATATTGTTTTTAAAAAAGAGTGCAAACTGCTAGCTGAATGCTGTCTTCGATAGGTGTTTCTCGAGTTCGGCATACATTAGCTGAGTATAATCGTCATGAGTTAGCTCATAAACTAAAATCTCTTAATAATTTCTTAATTATTGGTTTTACGGGTCATGTTCCCGTTGAAGAATCGACGGTAATTGCTATGAGGCCATACCGTCTAAAAGTATTTGCAAAAGTATTAGTGTTTGAGGTAATAATCAATCTATGTTCACATCTTTCAGCCAAATTCGAAAAGTGCGCGCATGAAGCACGCCGCGATCTTTGCCCACAATAACGCCTCTCAGGCTGAGGCAGTCAATGGGGACCTTTACAAAACCGTTGCCGTGCTCCCCGTACAGCACTACCGGAGCCTTTGAAGCGTGCTTTTAAAAAGATAATACAACGAAATTTCGGCGCTCATTTTTTGATCTATATGTGTTCAAAGGAGCAGCATCACATCGAGCATACCAATATCTTGTTAAAGAAAAGTCACGAAAAAGAATTTTAAAACGAATTAAACGATTAGCAAAGAGCACCTGGTGGATGTCGCTAACGCCTCGCTTGTAATGCCCGTCTAGGAACTTTGACAGCTAGTGACGGAGGTTGTCTCGCCTCCGGCCACGACGAGAGAAGAGGGGCAGGAGGAACTCCCCTCTTCCCGAGAATACCTTTTTGTGTGTCGCAGAAGTCGCTATTGTCCCCCTACAAGATTACAGAAGATTAACCCGTCACTTAAAATTCCTACAAAAGCAGCCGCTTCGGTGCCTGAAATGACTAGGGCCTAGGCCGTCCTCTCGTCGTCAGCTTCGCCGTAGCTTTGCTCGCCTTGAGACGACCTACGTCACGATTCCGTTGGATGCCACGTGGTCTCCGCTGGGCCTTCTCCGAGCGCTTGCCAGAGTGGGCCGCTTATAACGAAAAATACAGCCACCAGGCTCAAAATACCGGGTCACTACCAGTTCGGCCGTCCCTCGCGGAAGGGCCAAGATTGGATTAGGGCCGAGCGAGCCGGAACTGCCGAGTGCGGGGGCTAGGCCGACGACTGCGAAAGGGCCGGGAGGGGTGTTGAGGCCGAAAGAAGGGGGAAGGCCGGGCACGGCGGCAAGGCTAAGGGAGGCGAAAGGGCCGAGAACGGGTGTGGGGATTAGAGCGATCAGCACACGCGTGGCTACTCCGGCGTCGCGGGAATTCGTTGAAAAGAAGACCAATAGATGGCGCGCCCTGTTTTCGCTCCTTTCTGTTTGGAGACCTGTTTGGTCTGACAAGTTTAGTCTGGAAGCCTGGTATTTTTTTCTTTTCTTTTTTTAACGCACAGTTTATTAGCAAAACTTTCACAAGGAAAATTATGAGGGAAACCAACCCGTCCTGTGTTTAGGAACCCAGGACGGGTTGGTTTCCTTAATATTTTAATTGAAAATACACTCGCTAGGTAGGCCAAAGTAGCAGACCTTTTATCCGCTAGGCCATGGACGCATGAGGGATTTTGCGTCAACTTTTAGGAATATAAATAGAAAAAACGAGAATGCACATCTCCTGTTTTTATTTTTTTTTTTCCTTTCTTTCTATCACAAATTTTAGCAATCTCAAATATACTTGCCGCAGCTAAAGGACAGCAACATGTTTACTTTTAGTCGTGATTAAAACCTGTAGAGTACCGCTACGACACCAGAATCAAAATTTTGTAATCGGTGCGAGAACAGTAGCCGTGGTTCCAGCCGGCCCGATACGCGCCCAGGCATAACCACTCCATGGCCGATCGCACCGCTGAAGTATCGTATCGAAGGTGCAAAGATGGTCTGCTAAACTTGAGGGATTACGGATCGCAAAGCATGCTTGGAAGTAACTACACACTAGAGTCACAGCTCTATATAATGACTCTAAAAGTCACCTGCGTCGCAGACGGAATCTGCGTGAGGAAGACCGATGATTCAGTCCAGCGAGAACGCGCTTGAGAGCAGTCGACAAAAACACATCACTTCCGCAAAATAAAAAATACTAAAAAGAAACAACATAGCGCGTTATCTTTTAGACGATTACTGCGCCCCAACTTCCAAACAGCACACCATTGCTTGACCAAATAAGCCCGCAACTGGCAAACATTGGCTCCAATGTTAGCCTAATGTTGATTTTCTCGAAACCGCTACCCGATCCAACGTTGGACCATTAACTAATGCCAATGTAGGACCACGATTCAACCAATGTTTAGGCTAATATTGGACCATCATTTATGCCATCGTTGGACCACCTTTAACCAAAATTTAAGCCCAACATTGGGCCACAATTTCACCAACACCTAAGCCATCATTGGACCACTATTGACTGTGAATCCTATACAACCAATATTGGCATCAAAGTTTAATCACTGGCTTATCCAATATTAGCTCCCAACCTTATGCCCTGGCTATTTAAATTTTGGCATCCGATTTCAAGCGCGGGTTGCACTATTTTCGGCAGCCATTTTAGCGGACATGCAGCTTTCTTTTCAGATGTATTTATAGTGACTAGTTGAACACCACATATATATCTGAAAAGAAAGCTGCAGTAAACAAGCCACATGCACTGTGGAATTTGTTTGTTTATCGCATCCAGGTAAATATAGAAGCATGCAATTCAAAGTGTACCGTCAATGGATTTTATTAAGTATTACAATTAAAGAAAAATTAAAGCAAAATGAGTGCCAGGATTCACCCCTGCAAGCTGTGAACCGGGCAAGAACGTGATGAGATCCCACGCAGAGTTCTGGGCACACAGTTCTAAAAGAAACAGAAGCGAGGGCCTCGACTCAGGTGCCAGTTCTCACTAGGCCACCTCATACCACTGTAATTTTAAATATTCGTTTACCTTTCATCTTCAATCACTGTCAGTTCTCTCTTACCCTTGTCAATTATGAATATCGAAATAAAATATAGCTTTATTATTCGTCCCCCTTTAATCAACTGTTCGATTAATCGATTCAGTTGCTCTCTAACATAAAATCTCAAAAAGGCCTGCCGACTCTTTTAATGTTTACATTTCTATAATGAAAACTTTCTTTTCCAGCGAATATTTTTCGTTATTTTGTATACAATAAACTTGAGTATTCTAGGAGATAGCAGTACTGCCTTATATAACAAATAGATGAGCAAGTAAGACACCTGGGCGGCCTGCTGCAATCAGCGCCCCAGCCGACAATGGGTGAAAAAAAGCACTGCAAAGGGTGGGGCGCGCGAGCGTCTTGAGACGAGGTATGAGTCGCGCTCAGCTTCTGCGCTGGCTTTGACAGTGCTTTCCCTAGTCCCAGCTGAGACGACCTTTCCAGCAACCCGGCGTAGGCGTTAACTGTTGGTTTGTTCGCCCGACTTGTCCTAACTCAGAGCTCAACCGATCTTGTATTAAATATTGATAGTGATTAAAGAAATTAATCAAATAGTAGAAAGGTTAATCCATAAATTGTTTAGCCCTATTCTTGCAACATCATAGGGTTCCTCAACCCTTCATCTAGCCTTAAGACCTGCTAATTACAATCTCACCATTTAAGTTAACACCTATATCTCTACGTTGATTTAGAAAAAAAAAATTTCTTTACATTTACGGCATTTGCGGCACAGAAATATGTAGTTACAAATGTACTAGTGTTTCCTTCATATTATTTACAAGTTATAAATCAAATCGCTGGCCTTTTTCAGCTCACCAGTGTCAAATGTGCTACGAAATTAACAGTTCAATAAATAGCCTGTTATACGAGAGGAACATTACAGCTGAACAAAACATGACGCTTGAATCAATCAAGCATTTTAAATAAATCACGCACGTAAAAAAAGCTTGACGAGTAAAGAAAATTACGGGCAAATACACTCACATAGCGCGTTGATATAAATTAAACTCCACTTCCAGCCAACAAACCGAATCTGGGCAAATACGGGTTAACGAACGCTTCTGTGGTATTCAGCTTTAGACATACATCTTGCGACACGAAGACACTCATATTTTAACAGGAAAAATAAAATAAAAATGACTTCGAACATAAAAAATAACCAATCAGAACGTCCCTAACAGTCTACTTGAATAAAAAAAAAAAAAAAAAACCACTTGCAATTAGCGCTGTACAAGGCCTGTCGGGCCGATCTCTGTGGGTTACAGGCTGGACTCGTCGAAGATTCCGGTCACAGAGTTCAACGCAGTCCAAACTCATCGGATCATGACAAAGCGCACATTGCGTAGCAAGAACACATGTCCCCGATGGTCAAGAGGTCCTCTCTTTGTCACTCACATGGAAGGAAGGGCGGTCCGTCGCGTCTTCGGTCCGCCGAAGCTAGTAGTGACATGTATGCACACAACAAAGGAAGGTCACAGGTGTGTAGGGGCTGCCGAGAGTATATCCATGGTTTTGACTAGAGACACTAAATGAGCTGCGTCTAGAGTATCGGCACTCCGTTCGCTGACATTGTTGTGAACGCCGCCTTTTTGGTGATTGTGCAGAGCAGACATAGCTGCCGATCGTCATGATTCAAAAGTGCGACTTCCTCAACATTAGATTCGGTGTAAGGAAGCTCATGTAATATAGCTTTGCTTTGTCGCGAACTGTTTAAACATTTGTGGAGGACGAAAAAGCGTTTTCTGTGATTTCAGATAAAGCTTCACATAACTGCCAACCATGATTTTAAGCCACAATACCGCCAAGTGTCGTTACTCTGAAGCGTAGCTTATTTAGTGGCACAAGCTTTAAAAATCCGCGTGTTCAAGATCGCACTTAGCATTAAGACGGAATGCGCTGCTGGTGATCAAAGCTCTAGAACCCCCGTTTTTGCCGTTTCCAGTAGAGGTAGCGTGGATGGTGAATATGCCGAGCCGCTTCGCACGATAAAAACAGTCCGCTAAGCAATAAAATGCACTAAAACAACTTTAAAAACTGGCACCACGATGTCCTGATATCCGCATGTTGATCTTGCAATTCTTTTCTCTTGGAGAAAAGAGCTGTTTCTGCCCGATTGTAGTTCCCGGTTGCGCAACACTGTTCACGTCGAACAGCCCCCACTAGGTTGCCTACATGTTTCCGCTCCGCTTTAGGGTGGCGCCAACCTCTTGTTACCCTTTCCCAGACCCTCTCCCACCGCCATTTTGACCCACTTCCTATTTGGCTAAACATACACAACGTTGAGTTTTCGTAGTTTCGACACACCGGCAACACTGTGAGGCCACTTCCGTTTCCGTTCATGAGAGGAGTCGGACGAGTCGGAGGCTCAGCGGGATGGCGATCGTCGTGGCTGTCGCTCTCTTTATTCGGGTGTTTCATACTTTGAAGTTGCGAGCAGGAAGTATGCGTTGCGTTTATCGAAACGTGAGTCCCCTCGACAAAATGGAACGCAACAGACCGGCATCGCACGCCGAAACCTCGCCGTCGGAACGAGAGCGGTGGTCGCTCCCTAGCCCTAACGAGGATTAGCGGAGTAGCGCGAGCGCACGAGTGGGGCGAGTGTGACAAAATGGTCGACAAAACAGCGGAGGCTGCCATGGTAACGAGGTAGGCAACACTGGTTTGTCGGCAACAGGTATCCCAAACGTTGTCGCCACCCTAAACAGCGGAGCGGCGGAAACATGTAGGCACCCTAGGGGCGTCCATCTTCCCCTCCCCCATTGTCTCCTGTCGCCTTTTCCCAATATCCTTTCTGCTCTTCGTGAGCAAGGGAGGCGACGTCGGTTTCCCGGTGAGGCGCACACGCAGACACGGCGGAGAATTCAAGGTCACGTGGGCCAGTAGCAGGGACCGTCTGATACATTTGTGAACGACGACGAAATGCGCGTCGTCTGCATTGGTTGCAGCTGAGCTTATCGCTATGCAGGTACGCACAATTCTTGTAGACGATCATCTCGCTATAACAGCTGACTGCTGACGTAATAGTCATCGTTTTGTCCTTCATTCTGCGACGTTGCCGCGCTCAAAAGGCAAGACGGGGATATCTGGGTCCCGCTGAGTTGGCGGCGCGCTGCAGAGAGAAGAGGGGGGCGCGAAACCGTGGCATCGGACGTGAATAAATGTGCCGCTTCAGATTAATTCGTTCGTTTGGATCGCAACAAGCCGCGAAGAATGGCGCGGGGACCAAGTTTTTGTTTAGAAGAAAATAATGCCGATCGAGATGCCTTGCGACTTTACGGGCGGGCCGCGCGGGTTTTCTCGCTGCCTTAAAGGCCGACGTACACTTCGCGCTCTCCACTTCTGCCCGCCTCGTCCTTTCCTATATCCTCTCCACGTTTTACCTTGCCCCAACCTGGCTCCCCCTCGCAGCTTAGGAGAGGGGAGCGCTAAGAGGATTATCTTCCCTGCAGAAAACCGAGGTCCTACGTCCGCCTTTAAGAAAGTGCCTTAAGAAAGTGTCGGCTGGAAGCAACGCTAGGGGTATACAAACGAGTTAGAGCACAGATGATGCAGTGGCGGTTGGTGCCTTTCGCGTATCTTACTAGCAATTAGTCTGGAGTATTTCCTACGGCGAGGCAGGTGGCGAAAAAAAAGGAGATAAAAATAATGTAAGCAGTTATCGACCAATTTCAATTCTTCCCTTATTTTGTAAAGGCCCTGATAAAGTAATGCAGTCCCGTCTCGTACAATTTCCGAATAAGCACGATTTACTCTCATCTTCGCAGTTTTGTTTCGGAAAAAAAAATCGTTCCACGAAATTATCTTTCTTGTCCAAGAAAGAATATATATTACTAAATTTTGAAGAAAAAAGAACAGTTGCTGGCGTATTCGTAGATTTTACTGCAGCCTTCGACTTCGTGGATCATAACATTCTGCTTTGTAAACTTAATTAGTATAGTATTCGAGGGTTTCCGTTATCACTCCTAGATTCATACTTGAGTCACCGCTTCCAGTATATTAACATTAGTGGTCATTCCTCCGATAGAAAGCGTATTATTTCAGGGGTTCCACAAGAGAGTATTTTAGGGCCCCTTCTTTTTAACCTGTACATGAACGATATTGTGAATATAGACGCTGTTGCTAAATTTGTAATTTATGCAGACGACACTAGTATATTTTTTTCTCTCTTTAAATAGAAATTAAGTTGTGGATGTTGTTAATTTTACGTTGTCAAGGTTGGCGGCTTGGGCAAAAGAAAATGGACTAAGTATTAACTCTGATAAGAGAAAGGCTATTTTCTTTCGTCAAAAAATAAACAAATTTTTATGCCGAGGCCTATAGTATTTAGCTCAAGTTCGATAGAGATCGTGGAAAATTTTAATACACTAGGTGTTTTTTTGTTTTTTTTTTCTGAAAATGTGTCATGGGATAGCCATGTAAATTATTTGGCTTCCAAATTGTCTCGCGTTGTTGGTTTAACGTATCGCCACAGCCAAATTCTACCAGTTTGCGTGAAAATAATTATTTACCATGCTCTGTTTTACTTACTCCTGAGTTATCAAGCGTGAGGGCATGCTTGCAAGAAATTCAAGCCGCAAAGATGAGTAGGAAGTCTACAGCAGTCGAATATGAAGGTGCTCCTCTACTACTGCTGACCGTCTTCGAGGAAGACAAGGACCTCTTCTACAAAGTAATCGAGGTAAACATTTGAAGCAAGATTTTGCAACCCTATTTTTTCTCAGCATTCCTAACAGGTTACCTTGTAATTTAGTGTGTAAATATGACCATATTCTGCACAGTATTGAAATTAACATTCTCATGTACGGGTAAATGCCTTGTCTGCTACGGAAGGTTTTTTTTACGCTTATTATATCCGTCTGCACTCAAGAAAAAAAATCTTCAGAGCCTACGCACTATACAAATTCAACATTGCAAAAATATTTTGTCATAATTTGCGCCACAGCATGAACTAAAATTGAACAGGCGATTCTTTTTAGTATCGGACATATAAGGCCAATCGTCTTCTCGCATGCCTTTTATGGCGCTGAAAACTTCTTGCGTAAGGAAAACCAAATTACAAACCAAAATACCTATGTATGTGTGGAACTCTCCCTCGATAACAGGAAACTGGGTGTGACGATGACTTGGCAGACATGCCAGGCTGTCCCTTCATTTGTGCAAAAGGTATAGTTGCAAATGATACCAGCAGACAGGTAGGCATTGCTAAATTACGACACATTTCAATCAGGAGGGAGCTTTGTGACTGCTAAGTCGTTCACGATATACATCGACAGCCAGCCAGTAGTCCACACGTCCAGCCCATGCCAGGCCTTCAAGCTCGTGTTCTTTGCTCACTTTGCCTTCAACGTCGTTTACCGCAAGGAGGCAAGCCTGTGTTTGGAGTTCATGCAGAGGTAGGAACGAAAGTGTCTATTCATCATTTCGTAATTTACTGAGTCGCGATGAGGACTGACTCAGCACATTTCACGCTTTTGTGTCGTGCATAACTTCCAGTGGCAAACAACAAAGCGGCGTTCGAGCAGTTACAGGAGAGCCTTTATGAGGGCCCTTTTTAGTTATAAAACTAAAAAATAAAATGATAAAAACAGAAAAAAAATTTACCTTTGCCGATTTTGAGTGATTGATTACCGATGGATTGAAATCGGCTGCTCCTTGGTGCGAGCTGTCTTCAGCACGCAGCAGTTAGTGGAAGGGAAAGGCACTCTCCTTTCGAGACGAGACAAAGGCGATCCTGACTGTCACCGCATGACCCGTTGCAATTAGAGCACGCAACTCGGTAACCAAGTCCCAGGCCAGTCCTACTCAATAAGGATGATCATAGATGTTAGTATGTTAAGTGTCATTACAAAGCGCGACCTCAAATATCTGTTTTGCGCTGTTCATGAGCTTTATATTCTATTGTGATTGTGTGCATCTCCTGAAAGTGGCCCAACCTTTCAGATGCCCAGTCGGGAAGACATGCAACCCTATGCCTCTTTGTCTGGTGCTGTTTTGTGGCAGCCTTGCACACAACAGGGGAACTCACTCATTGAAAACAGTGAGCGGACACCCGGTAAGAAGTCTCGTGCTAACGCGGAAACTCCCAAACGCCGGGCATACAACGCACGCTGAAACGGCCGTAGTACCAGGGAGAACCACAGGTACCAGAATGCACCGCGGGAGCGGTGGTGTCGCGCAACTCCTGGTGAGATCAGTCTATTTGAGGGAGGCTTATTGGAGAGTAGGCGCCGTGTAACTGAACTTTTGGGTTGCTCGTCAAAAGAGCCCTAAGCGGTTGAAATTAATGCACAGTCCTCCACTGCGGTGTGCCAGATGCCCGTCATTGGTTTGGCACGTAAAAACCAAAAATTTGACTTTTGTTTTCTTGCTCTAGGGACATTGCTGCAGTAAACCCAGGAAAAGACACGAAGGTTCAACGAACGAAATCCAAACAACATTGCTTGACGCCCAAGCTTGCAGCACTGGTGACAGCGTTGCCTGATTATGACTTCTAAACATTTAAAACATGAAGATACATGTGCCATGCAGGCTTCCAACCAGCATAATATTTGCTTCCTTGTTTTCTTTTAATAAAGGTTTTAATATTTTATAGTAATTTATCTGAGTACAAACATTCTTCTGCAGAGAATATTTGCTTAATGCAGGTATAATAGGAAACAAGGATGAAAAAAAAAAAAAGAAACGTAACACATCCCAGCCTGAAAAAAAAGTTGAAAAAACCGGCATACTAAAAAGCAACCCTACGCCGTGCCGTGTCTTCTCTACTACTTGGCCCTCGTTGTTTGGTGCACTGCCCCAAACGAGCAAAATTAAGCTCTCACAACCATCTGTTCCCTGAAACGTGGTTGCCATTTTAGCTTATTAACAGGCGCGACAAAGCATAGTTATTACAATTATTTTTAAATTTGGCAGATTTGATATTTGACGGTGGAACAAGGCGTCAGCCAGCCATGACCTTTCTGCTAATATATTACTACGCGACAGCTGTGTACATAGGTCTCTACGTAGCAAAGCGTGCATACTATCAAAGGTAATAAAATACATCCAATTGCGTTTGCTACAATGCATGCTTCAGTAGCTTAGAGGCCTAGTAACACAGCTGTCGCGTTGCAATATATCAGCAGCGAGGTGGGCTTTCACAGTCATTGATTTCACGAAACTTGTAATTTTATAGGAATTATCACCCCTCGTATTTCTCTGTACCTGATTTGATGGAACTTCTTATTTTACATAAACTGTCTGTGCTGTTATTTTTCTGGCGATGGTTTAAAATAACTTGTAATTTTAGAGAAATCTCCTGTGCTAAGATTTGATTATACATGATGATTGAAACGTGAGACTGTGGTTTGAAAAACGGAAACTCGTGAAGGAGGAAGAAAAAGGGACAGACGACGACTCCGTTTTGTCTGTGCCCTTTTCTTCATCCTTCACGAGTTTCCGTTTTTCAGACCAGTCTCAGGTTTTAATCATCAAGTATAACTTACACCAGCTGATTTGAGTTGTGTAAGTTGTGCTTCCAGTATTTCTCTTGGCAATGGGTCTCGACTTTTAACTATTACGGAACAATTTTCAGAATGTGCTACACAACCACAATCAGGAGAGTGGGTTCCGAAATATCCAGCGGCGACTCGATCGGTGGGTGTTATAAAAATGCCCCTTTAATCGCTCATTCAAACACCTGCTAGTCTGGTCTACATAACTAGTGTGGTAAGAAGTAGTTAGGCCAGACTGGCAGGTGTTTGAATGATCGTTTAAGGGAACAATTTTATAATAACCACCGAGTCGTCGCTGTACATTTGGGAATCTGCTGTCAAGATTGTGGTTGCGTAGCACATTTTGAAAATTGTTCTATAATAGATATATTTGAATTACTAGATAAATAGATAGATAGAAATAATGAAAGCGCAAGGAATAGAGCATCTGAAGGACAAGTGTGTAAGTAGTCCTTCTATAGCGCTCTCGACCAAAGAGCTTCAATTTCTATCTAAACAATAGCGGTGAGGGAGAAGGATGATTTGTAAGGGTTTTCTTTTTCGTTTTTTTCTTTTGTCTTGTTTTTCGCTTATTTTTTCTTGTATTTTGTGCTATTTCTTCTGCTTATCACGTTCTGGAAAGTCAATCCAGGCGTTGAAGAGAAGAATGAAGTACTCGAATACACGAGAGCTATAGGTTTAGCGCGTGTGCTTGTCTTTCTGAGTATCTGGTGTGTGATTGTTTCCCTGCACTGTCACCGTAGAATATGTAAAAATGAATAATTACATTGGCATATTTGTCATGCCAAAGCCTGTCATACTTATTCCGAACTCTGATCTCCACGAGATCACAATACCATCGTTTCTGTTGTAGTGACACTGAAGACTCAATACTTGTTTTGCTTCAGGCTTTGTAAGGGGGACGCTGTAATCCGATTCCACTCATCTATGGTGTACTAGATAGCACCATATTTGCAGAGCTAGTCTTCGGTTTTCGTAGTTCCATCAAAATATATTTCAGCCTTTAAGAAATTTTTTTTTTGGCATGTAAATTTACAAGCTCATCTAGATTGAAGGCAACAATTATTTTGCCAGCACTCATGATACGCGTTTGAAGTATATTGCGTTAACATAATTGACCCAACGTCTGATTTTTATTTGTCAGTGCTTCTAGCGAATTGTGCATGCATTTGCTTTTGTTTGTTTGTTTCACATAATCTACAGCACATTTTCACCTTTTTACTCAGTGCAGCCCTCGCCGAACAAAAGCTAGCATCGACTAGGCCGAGGTTCAGGTCCGTGGCTGTCTGCAAAGGTTGTTGATGGGTAAGCTGCCTTATATATACAGGGGTGGAAGCGGGCTAGAGCCTTTTGTATCAGGGCTGGGAGCAGCAAAAGTTCCACTTTGGAGCAGTTTTGGAGCAGTAAAACGCTCGCTTTAGAGCAGCTCGGGAGCAGCAAAAATAAGTTTTGTAGCCATAGAAGTAGGTTTTGCAGCAGGTCACGGAGGTCAAACAAATGTCTAAAAGTGATTTGTTGTTTCTGAATGTGAAAATGTAGCAAAAATATATGCATGCACATCCCAGAATAATTTTCAAGCAACATACATACACACCTTTCTATTTCTATTGCATTGAAATATGGAATATTGGCAATTTATGCAAAGGAAAGGCTTTGAGAACCATTCCGGCAGCAGGCAGAGTCATGATAGATTTTATATGGGAGGCCCCGACAATAAAAGCCTAGCTTGAGCCACGCCAGTACAAAACCGTCTACTTAATAGACCAATGGTAAACATGTCTCCAGAAAACTAAACCACTGCAAGGTGTCAGATAAACTACCTTCGCTGACTACAGTTTTTGTTTAATAAAGAATACACATGTTCAATCACTACTTAAAAAGCCCTATATCAAGTTTAGTAACAAAATACAAGGCTACTGACATTTGACAAAAATTCAGATGCAAAATAAAATGTGTATTTTATATCTTTAGACTACCACAGTCACTCGTACATATGCAGCTTTAAGCATCGACTAGAAGAGCAACGCAACCTTATGTACTCCATAAAATGCTGTGCATTGCGTGTCTCCATAAAAAAATTAAGGTACCACAACATGTCTCAGAATAAAGCAGTCCTTGCTGACCTGTTTTCATTAAATACAAATGTTCTTAATCCCTGCTTATAAAATACAGTAATCCCTACACCCAAGTTAACATACAAAGCTATATCTATATTACTTTGGATGGAAAAATATATTGTCTTAAAGATATCACAGCCACTAATACATATGCAGCATAAACAGTGACTAGAAGAGCCCACAGGCTCCATGTTAAAAAAAAAAGGGGTTGTGACTAAGCTGAATCTGTGTAATTTAGAAACAACTGAAGTTCACTTTTTTTTCACAGTTTGAAGAGCAGAGTCAATTTCTTTTATGCGCTCGAGTACTTTGGGCAGTTTAGAGTTCACATCTCTTAGCAGGAGGTGTCCACTCCCCACCTTGTCCATGTCCTTAACTGCCTCACCCTTGCTTATGAGTTCTTGTGCACTCAGTAGAAGTGCTTTAAGAGAAGACAGTTTGAACGAGACTGAAAATGAGATGTAGCTGATCAGGCGCTGATCCCTGCGGGGCAGGCTGCCTTCTTACGTGACAAAAAGCCCACCAACTTCTCTCTACCCTACCCAACCCAACCCAACCCCCCCCCCCCCCCAACCAGATACACCTATACCCGAAACTTATACGAGTAGGGTGGCTATAGCAAGTTAAGGTACGTTCTTGACAGGAATCGGCAGCGCGGGAGTGTTTTACGGCATTTCTGATGTCACCCCCACTCCTCCACGCTAAAGGAAAGAAACAAAAAAGTGTGTAGCACTGCCAATTAACCAACTCGCTTAAGATCACGGGTATTGTTTTCGCTAGTGGTCTGACGGCGGGAGACAACACACGACAGCGTGCACATTCGCGCACACAATGATGGTTTTGGTTTCGTTTTGATAAGACAAATTGAGCTCGAGAACGGATGTGCCTGTGCTCGCGATTCTTCACGGCTAAGCGTCCAAATATGGTAGGCTACCAAATAACAGGTAAAGCTAGTAAAGACCACTTACTTCTGCTCATGTTAATGGCCAAGGTAGCCCACCGGTGCCGAGGCACCAACTCCCACGATCACGGCAAATCGGGACCACGGGCAACTGCATGCGCGCTCCAACCGCGCCAACCAACTATGCCCGAAACCAAACCGATGTGTTCGTATATCAAGCTCTTTGTAGTAAAAAACAACATCGCACTCTCGATGAACTAAAATCGGCGCCTTGCCCTGAGGTTAGACATGGTTCGGAGCCCCAGTCGAGTTGCTACGAGTCACCCGCAGTGACACCTAAACAAAAGTACACAACATGGTGGCCCGTGGCCAACCGTTTTCCGCTAAATTTAAAGAAAACACACAAAAAAAAAGTTGAAATTGGCGTTTTGGAGCAGGCTGGCGCAGGGAACTGAATTGGCGCAGGGTGGCGCAATTGGCGCAGCGCTTCCACCCCTGTATATACAGCTGTGTAAGAGCAGCTTGTCTTGGGTGAAAATTTGAAATACATTTTTATGTTTTATAAAGTGAAATTCGCATGGGCATACTTGCAACGTGAAACATTACCAAGTCTGTTCTAAACGTTCGTCCTCTTGAGATTTTGAAACAGGCCGTTTATGCTGCACACACACTAGCTACTTCGGCCAGGTAGGTACTTGATCCATATGAAGGTAAACAGGTGAGTATCAACGGCTCAGTTCCGTCCGTTGTGACGTTCTCTCCTTATCAGACGACTTACCACACTTGGTTCGCAAGGCATTTGAAAAGGAGAGCAAGTCAGCTGCTGCATGATGCTCCCAGTACTGAGCAATCGACTATTGCTTGTTCACCTTCGTATAGATCACGAGTGAACTTCAAGCTCGGCAAGTGTGACACTTATCTGATTCAGCCTAGCAGTGGTGTGCTGAGCGGAATGTGTAGAGCTAGTTGACTTGTGTACAGAC